TTAGTACAACTGTTTAAAAAGTGGTCTAAACTGGGATAAGTTTCATTTGACAGCTGCATTAAAAGTGGTCTGAACTGGGATAATTTTAAAAGTGGTTTAAATCTTTGATGAGTTTCACTCAAGACAGCTTTCTTAAAAGTGGTCTAAATGGATGAGTTTCATTTCGGAGAGCTTTCTTAACAGTAGTCTAAACTGAGATAAGTTTTATTTCAGATAGCTGCATTAAAAGTGGACTGAACTAGGATAAGTTTCAAAGTGGTTTAAATCTGGCATAAGTTTCACTCAGGACAGCTTTCTTGAAAGTGGTCTAAACTGGGATAAGTTTAATTTCGGACAGCTGCATTAAAAGTGACCTGAACTGGGATAAGTTTAAAAGTGGTTTAAATCTGGGATAAGTTTCACTCAGGACAGCTTTCTTAAAAGTGGTCTAAACTGAGATAAAGATCACTTAGGACTGCTGTGTTAAAAGTGGTCTAAACTGGGATAAGTGTCATTCGGGACACTTGTGACGCTGTCCTCGGTCTCTCCTTGTTTAGAGGACATCCAACACGTGGGGACAAACTTGTTGTTTGAAACAAATCACAGCTCGCGCAGACTTCTCTGTCTCTCGTCCACTCTTCTTCTTCGCGGCTCTAACGGTTTCACAACATTTGATAATTAGTCTACTTGTAGTTATCAGCCATCAGGAGTCGGCTCCTCTCTTATTACTCGACAATAACTACTTTTCCCTGCACAGGCTCTCATCATGCGGAGCTCCGGCCGAGTTAGAAACTTTCTGACAGTAAATGAAAAGTAGCTGACTCGGACTTGTCGCTCGGGTCGGACACGGAGCTAAAAGCACTTCACGTGAACAGATTCACTTTGATTCAGTCGAGTCTGGCGGCGAACAAACACCAAACATCCTCATTAAAACAGACAAAACTTACCCCGACGACTCAGCGGGCTAATAAAACGCTTTACAGCAGCGAACAGCCGCACGCGGAGGGAGATATAGCGAACCTGCGCACGCGAGCTCGCGGACAGAGCGCGTGCGACAACAAATCACACCGTAAACAGCAACAAATATTCCTCCGCTCCCTGAGTGAAGGTGTCCGGGAGGAGGGGGTCTAACTCAACTTATGTGCGAGCAGAAACGGATCGTCTTACCGAGGGCGTCGAGTAAACCGCGCAGCTCGTCTCCCGCCGCGCGCCTCGTCGGGCTGAAGGCACGCGCTCCTTAATGTTCTTATTAGATTTTAACACGCAGACAGGAGCGGAGGAGGAAGACTGAAGGGGGGGGAAAGGAAGAAACGCGGATTTGGGTGTTTTTGTTTTGATGTTCCAAGTCCGTGACGTCATATCCACCTGCGCCGGGTAAACAAGGTTGACTGCGAGGCTGATCATGAAACTCTTGAAGCACGCGCTCGCTTCGGCGGGTCCTTCCTGTGGGGAAATGTTCTGATCTGCTTTAGTTTTAGGAGTGACAGCGGAGAGGGGGCTGTCAGGACAGCTCCAAGTCCTGCTGGATAAATACAGCTCAAGACAAAAGCTACCTAAAATAATAATACAAATGTTATTTTGTTTGTTAACTCTTCTACAACCGCACTCGCAATGAAAAATAAAACCCTTAAAGATGTTTTCATGTTGTTTCCTTAATAAAAAAAAGTACAGCTGGATAACCAGAGACCTCTTCAATGTAGTTTCAACATGGGGCCATCTTTACTTTTAACATTTTGAACGGGAGTGTGAGAAAATGATTGTGTTTTTATCCTTTTTTTTTTTTTTTTAAGGCGGAGGGGTTGATTGAACAGTTAGTTTCCATCAGTGTAAATGTTGAGATTGTGCACTTGCTCAGTGTTGAAGCTCTGCTCAGTCCTCTGAACGAGACCGTCATGGCTGCAGACCTCAGCTGTTTGTTGGTGCAGAGCGCCCCCTGCTGGCCACCACCGCAAACTGCGTGCTCTGTGTCTGTTAACACGTCTCATGAACCGCTGGACGATTTTTAATAAGATGCTCAGAAAGTTATCAATAGATACACATCTACAACTGAATGACTTTTGGAGAATATCACACTGGATATGGCTACCACACCTAACTGAATGTAGAAAACACAAAAATGGCTATAATTATGTTAAATTTGCAGATCTTAAAATAAATCCTGGTGCCACTGTAGCTGAAAGCCATTTACAACACATACTTTAAATGCTAGTTATTGTGTAAGATTCTTGCTGAAAGCTGTAGCTTGATACTAATTAATCAACTCTTTGTTAGTAAAATATCTCATGAACAATTGGACTTATTTTTAAAAAATCAGAAAGTTATCATTGAATGTGCGTCTACAGCTGACTAACTTTTGGATCCAAGTGCTGGTGAAGATTCTCCTTCATCCAGGACATGATAATCAGTGACAGTCAGGATTTGAGAAAGCTCCTCGGATGAGGAGCAAAACGTCTTTTGTTACAAATAAAGTCCAGTTGTTTTTGTATTGAACGTTTTTTTTATTATTATTATTTTGGATCCAAACCAATTCAAAATGCCTGCCACAGCTAATCAAAATGATCTAGCACAAACGAGGCTATAGCTCAGTCAATTTTACAGATAATGAGCAAAAAATTAATGTGGTAGTAGCTGAAAATTATGAATCTGGTTTTATTGAATGAAATTACACGAAACGTTAATTTTAAGGGTTTGAACCAAACATCTCCAACTTGAGGGAAGATGATTTTTGTGTTAAACTTTAGCATCAGAGGCAGGAGTGAACCGGACACTCCGGCTGTGCAGAAACTGTGACAATAAAGCTGAAGCGTGTCTGACTTTATAGCAACGAGGGTAAACAGGAAAGCACAGCTTCACCAGCAGCTGTGCTCCTCTGTTTACAGCAGACCTAGGAAACACTTTAGCCCTTAACTACAGGAAATGAAAGTAACACTGAGGTAAGTATTTATTTAAGGAGGTTAATATCATTTTAACTTCACAAATCATAAAAGACATGATGCGTATTATATGCTGTAACGTTTATACGGAGGATGGATGTAGACTGATGTGTCAGTTCACAGCCTGACATCTTGCTGTTTACTGACTCCAGGGCCTGAAACAGAGAATAATGATTTAACAGCAGCTCGCTCAGTCAGTCGCTCAGTCAGTCGCTCAGTCAGTCGCTCAGTCAGTCAGTGAGTGACTCAGTCAGTCTGTCTGTAAGTCAGTCAGTCTGTCACTGAGTCAGTCAGTCAGTCCATCAGTCACTTAGTCAGTCTGTCTGTAAGTCAGCCAGTCAGTCTGTCATTGAGTCAGTCAATCAGTCCATCAGTCTGTCTGTGAGTCAGTCTGTCTGTCTGTGAGTCAGTCAATCAGTCTGTCAGTGAGTCAGTCAGTCTGTAAATCTGTCTGTTAGTGAATCAGTCATTCTGTATGTCAGTGAGTCAGTCAGTCAGGGAATCTGTCTGTCTGTCTGTCTGTCTGTCAGTGAGTCAGTCAGTCTGTATGTGAGTCAGTCAGTCTGTCAGTGAGTCAGTCAGTCTATCTGTCAGTGTGTCACTCAGTCTGTCTGTCAGTGAGTGAGTCTGTCTGTCAGTCAGTCATTGAGTCAATCAGTTAGTCCATCAGTCAGTCAATCAGTCTTTCTGTGAGTGAGTGAGTCAGTCTGTCTATAAGTCAATCAGTTTGTCATTGAGTCAGTCAGTCCATCAGTCAGTCAGTCAGCCTGTCATTGAGTCAGTCTGTCTGTCATTGAGTCAGTCAGTTAGTCCATCAATCAGTCAGTCAGTCTGTCTGTCTGTGAGTCAGTCAGTCTGTCTGTCAGTGAATCAGTCTGTCAGTGAGTGAGTCAGTCATTGAGTCAATCAGTTAGTCCATCAGTCAGTCAGTCAGTCAATCAGTCTGTCAGTCAGTCAGTCTGTCATTGAGTCAGTCAATCAGTCCATCAGTCAGTCTGTCTGTAAGTCAGTCAGTTGCTCAGACAGTCAGTCACTTAGTCAGTCTGTCTGTCATTTTGTCAGTCAAACAGTCAGTCTGTGAGTCAGTCTGTCTGTCAGTGAGTCAGTCAGTCTGTAAGTCTGTCACTCAGTCATTCAGTCAGCCAGTGAGTCTATCAGTCACTCAGTCAGTCTGTCTGTAAGTCAGTCATTCTGTCATTGAGTTAGTCCATCAGTCAGTCAATCAGTCTGTCTGTGAGCGTGTCAGTCAACCAGTTTGTCAGTAAGTCAGCCAGTCTGTAAGTCTGTCACTCAGTCAGTCAGTCGTTCAGCCAGTCAGTGAGTCAGTCAGTCACTCAGACAGTCAGTCACTCAGTCAGTCTGTCTGTAAGTCAGTCAGTCTGTCATTGAGTCAGTCAATCAGTCTGTCAGTGAGTCAGTCAATTAGTCCATCAGTCAGTCAGTCAATCAATCAGTCTGTGAGTCAGTCAGTCAGTCAGTCAGTCTGTCAGTGAGTCAGTCAGTCTGTAAGTCTGTCTGTTAGTGAATCAGTCTGTCAGTGAGTCAGCTAGTCTGTCTGTAAGTCAGTCATTCTGTCATTGAGTTAGTCCATCAGTCAATCAGTCTGTCTGTGAGTCAGTCAGTCAGTCTGTCTGTCTGTCAGCGTGTCAGTCAATCAGTTTGTCAGTAAGTCAGTCAGTCTGTAAGTCTGTCACTCAGTCAGTCAGTCGCTCAGCCAGTCATTGAGTCAGTCAGTCACTCAGACAGTCAGTCACTCAGTCAGTCTGTCTGAAAGTCAGTCAGTCTGTCATTGAGTCAGTCAATCAGTCTGTCAGTGAG